AGATTGCAAGTCCATGATTTAGATTGTTTGCAGAGAAAGCTTGCAAAGCAAACAGAGCATTTCTTCTCATGCCAAAGACATCTTCTATTGTGAAAAGAAAAAAGTCAAAGAAAATATGAGTCATAGAATTTATTTACTTAAAATTGTATACAGAAGTGACTTCAGTAGCACCAACAACATCTGAATGTTTCACAGGCTGTATTTATCTGTTCCCTCCAGGCACAATCAAGTAAACTGCTTCCACTGATGCTGGAAGAGCATCTCTGTGGAAACCAGTGTTTGGGGACATTAGAACAACTACCTGAAGTGCAACAGAGTTGATCAGTGATTTATCCACACGTTAACAGCAGGTTCTTTCAGATCAAAGTTTAAGAAAGTCTCCAGTTGTGAAACAAATGTTCCCAGATTCCTTTAGAGTGAGTATAGCAATGAAAGGTTCCTGCTACAGTAGGATTTACGCACAAAAAGAAATTGTGCATGCGTTGGGGTATTAAACAATTATATAGCATTTCTATTATTTTCTTCTGTATTTTCTCTTATCAATAGTTGATAAAGCTCTCCATCAGGCAAACATAGATGTGTGTATGCATCTAGTCAGCATATATATACACACACTACTATCTATGTCTCTATGGGCTCAAACAGCTCAGAATTAATTCAGTCAAAAGAAGGCGCAAAGCAACAGTTGTAGGAAGAGCAAGAGCAAAAAGCAAGCTCTCAAAGATCATCCAGAGGAAAAGTGAAAGGATGGCCTATGCTGCAGGCCCTGGGGAAGGAGCTGCAGATTTGCAAGAAGGTAAAAAATCACGTGATGGTGAAAGCAAAGAGGATAACATGAAGTGCAAAATGCAAGAGAGAAAATGGAAACATTTTGGCCATGATAAAATACCTTATTACTTATTAACACTTCTCACCACCTCCAGCCCATTACTTTTTTTTTTTTTTTAATATAAGAACTTCCATTTTCAGCGTGTGTTATCTGCACATCTTTAGAAGCACTTGATGTTTTTTCTCCCAACTGGTAACGGATTATGAAGACACCCCAAACACCAACGATATTCTCTTATAGCAGCCAGGTTTTTGAGATAATAAACAGTTATGCTAAAATTAAAGACTGTGACATCAGGGACAAAAACTGACAAAGCATGCCTCATTGTTCAAGTTACTCTTGACCCAATTATGAATGGAGAAAAATAGTGGACTTGCCAATTACAGTGCAATAGCACCTGAAGAAATAATTCAGTTTCCTTAAGGAACTTTTTTCCCCCTCTTGCTTTAGTGCAAAGCGCTGTATTTGAAGTTACAGGGGTAGTTTTATTCTTCTTCTTGCCCAAAGGTCAACGGCTTGAGAACAAGCATGAAAATGATCCAGCTCTGTACAGCAGCTGGAACATGAAAAATCTTTGAGCTGGTTCAGGGCACGTGTCAGATGCTGGGGAGAGAATGACAGTCACAGGATAAAGGGAAAGTCTAAGGGCACAACTGGCACAGCCACCACAGCCTGTTTGGCATTGGCTGTTAAAATTTTCTAACCTTGCTATCTTATTTCATGGAAAAAAAAATCATCTACTATTCTCTGTAATCAGAAGTCCTGCTTCAGAAAGCCTCTGATTCACTGGAAAGGTTCTTTTTGATTAAAACAAAAGGAAGACCTATCATCCAAGGGGTTTCCCAATTTGCAAAATGATGAATGCACTAACATTAGTTAGAGGTGGAGAACAAATGATCAAACTATAGCTTAAAAATATTCCTAAAGAAAATCCAGATGATATCCAAAAATCTAAATTAAATACAAGTAGTGATTTAAAACTGATTTTTTTAAAACACAATTCCTGTGTTCTCATTTAAGCAATGACGATATTACAGCAGTTCATAGGAAACATATAGGACTTAAATGACTACAAGAACACAGCATGGTATAAAAGCCTTTGTACCGCTTTGACTTTATTGACCTACATGTCAATTTACTCCTCCCCAAGCATTACAACCCCAGGTGAAAAAAAATATCAAAGTAAGCCCCCTAGAAATAGATAAAACCAAGAGCTAAAGTGGAATGCAACTGTTATCCAGAAATTCATTAGGAATACAATAGGCGATCTACTTAGATCAAGTTCCTTTTGTGGACATAAATTGTATTTCAAAGAAGCAGTAACATTATTTTACATTTTAATATTGGCAAGGTACTGAAATCTTAATCTTTATGCTTTGGTTTCAAGCAAAGCATTAATAAATGTATTCATATTTTAATAATATTTAATGTTTTTGTATACCATCTTTTAGAGTAGCTGAAGACCTACATGAAAATAAAGACTTTGGATACAAAATAAAAAACTGATCTTTTCAGGAACAGGACAAGGAATTGTTCTGCAATATTCAGTCAAAGCGCGTTTCTCAAACATTTCCATATTCTCATATGGAAAAGCATTTCTAAAAGAATAACAGTGAATACCTTGAATAATGGTGCTTTCACATCATTCACCTAACATTGAACAGATAGGTCCTTCGAACCAAGATACTCATGTGTGATTAGCACTAATTATTATTTAAATTTTTTGAAATACACAGCAAATTTACTTTTCATTTAGCGAAGCAAAATGGCCTCCTCTCCTTTCTCAAAACACCTTCACTGTAATATAAAGAATTCCTAAAATTACTGCTGTCAAACATGGTTCAATAGTAACATTTATTTTTTCTTTAAATAAAGCCTTGTCTACACACACTCATTAAATCACTGAGATATCTTCGTTAAGAGACTTACAAATGGTTCATCAAGGACACTGGCTGTTAGTCCCATTAGATGCCGAAAATATACATTTTGATAAACACATGCAAAGCTTTTCTTTTTTTAAATTAAAAATATCTGCCATAATTCCGTAACAGTCACCAGTATTGTCTATTAAGCTCACTGCAAAGACAAAAGTGAATTGTAACACAAAGACCAGATGAATCAGCTAAGAACGCTTTATTTTTCAAAACAGAAAAACGAGGCGTCCTTGAAAGCAGATAGATTCTTACTTGAATTTAAATAAACAACAGCTCTTCTAGTCAAAGGCAATTGCATTTTTCTTCCCTGATTTACATGTCATTCTCATGGCAGCAATGCTCAAATGACTGTACGGGGATATTCAAACTACAAAGAAAAGCCCTGTAAAAAGGCCAAAGTTTTTTGCTATTCAGACTGTTTAGATTTTCATAACAGCTCCCATAATTTCCAGCTCTTTACACGGCACCTGTAGTAGCATCATATATCCCATTGCAAACAGAAGGCACAACCAAACTTTGGGTTTCCATCTTTACCAGAAAAAAATAAAACAGAATTAAATAGGATATACTTACAAGACGTCTCCCAGATTCTCTGAATGTGCTTAAGATAGTCTCTTTACATTTGTGTTCAGGGTTATACAGAGCAACAACTGTAATGAACGCTGGCGTGTAGACAGAACTCAGTTTTTTAACCTGAGAAATACGGCTCTGCCTTTGTTTGTACGCAAACACATCAGGCATGTAGGTGAAAGAATGGTACAACTTTGCAAAGGTACCCGCTATATAGTTAAGATTAATCTATCTTAGGCCAAAGAAAAAAAAAATCCAAAGATAAGAAGCAGTCCCTTAACTGTTTAAGTCATTCTCACAATAAAGCGAAGAATAAAGGGCATAGTTTAATTTTTTTAGAAGCTACCTGAATATCCTCTTTCCAAGCGTTCCCTCAAAATGATCTGTCATTTTCCTTGGAAAACCATAATGGTGGAAATGGAGAAATAAGTCTTGGCTCCGTAATACATCCCCCATCCTCCCCCAACAAGCGGCTTCTTTTCCAACAGACTTAAGGCAGATTTCCATAAACTGAGTCGTCCAAGGCTAGCCCCCCAAAAATAATTAAAAAATAAATATTCAGTTTCACTTAGCTACATTATAGTTTTCAGTAAAATAACAGCCTACTAGTCTACAGGAAAGTAAAGTGAAAACGCCTCAATGCCAGAGTCGTACATCTCATAGGGAAGGCAGTGGTGCGCGGAAAACATATGTCGTTAAAGATGCCTTACCAAAAATGTCCAGTTTTGGTATAAAATAATCCTTGCATGATAAGCAATTCTAATGCTGATTAGTAAAGATTATTTTCTGAATACTCTTTAAACTATGAAATCACCTTAATTTTTTTAAATGTTGCCATTGTAGGCCTTTTTAATATAGGCTCTTAAGAAAATACACCATGCCATCCTTACAAAATATATTGAAAAAAATGCAGTAAGATTTTTTTTTTTGAACTGAAAACTAATAAAGATCATTTTCCATGCTGACAGTGCACATTTCATCCAGAAGTTTGAAGAGTCAAATGCTACCCCAGCTGGGGGTTATTCTGCCAAATGGCTTCCAACAGTGACCACAGAGATGGAGGATGGGAGGGGTGCGTGTGTGTAGGAAAATAAACGTGATGGTAAGCAATCCAAAATCCACATTGTCTTATCAAATATCTGACACACATAGGCAAACATACAAAGCAAATCTGGAATACAAAACTGAAACAAAAAGACATGGACAAAATGAAATAAAGCCATTTGTGAGTTACCTGCAGAGATTTGAAACAAAAAAAAAGCATACGAATGAAGCAGACATAATTCATATGGATTTGCCCAGGAAGGAGAAAAGGAGGGGTGACTGTGAGGGCTGAGGGGGGGGAGAAGAACAGATACCTTTTTTCTTAAACAAATCCATCATGAAAGAAAATGAGACAAGATTATAAATAGGCCGAGTTATAGCGCACCATGGGATTTTTAATCTGGCTACCTGTGGTTTTTGCAGTTAAAGCCCTATTCAGTAGTGGAAAGGGAGGGGGGAAGCGGGAAAAAAAAAAGAAGAAAAGAAAAAACAAAATCACGTTTATGTGCCAGTTTCGCAAATGATCACACAGCGTGCATCACCAACAATGCTGGCAAACAGGAAAGACTAATTATCAGCATTTTCTAATAAGCGTACGCCTTTGAAACATTATTGATCATTACCTGTCCGTCTCGTTTCCTGCATTCTTGAGTTTTACTCTCATGCTCTGCCATGGCAGCGCGAAGCTCTTTTTCCAGTTTCTCGATTTCCCGTTCATGGTCTCGGACCAGGCAGTCCTTCTCTGCGTTGTGCTGCTGGAATAGGTGCGTCTTCTCCTGTTCATGCTCCAGCTTCAGCTCCACTATCTGATTGGACAGTGAGGAGTACAGTTCATCAATAGAACATCCTTGTCGTCATGACAACTCGTCTACAGCTTAATTTTCCCCTTAATTTCATCAAGTTGGCAATTTTATTTTTACGTCACTATTACCTCACCTTTTAAAAAGCCACCGTTAGCGTGACAGAATTCCTCCAGACGATTCCAACAATGGCGACAACCGAGCAAATCCAGCGCATCCTTAACCAATTTGTTGGTACAAATGTCGGAGCGTTTAAAGAAAAAAAAAAATTGCATTGTCGCATTCTGCGAACGGTCCCCCCGTACCCGGCTGCTGCTCATCCGCAGGGCTGAGGATCCTAAATGGTTAATAGCCAGCCTGCTCTCCCCTTTGCTCAAGTATACACACGCAACCCCCCCACCCCAGCAATTAAATCTTTTAAGGATTTCTTGATGGTTTTCCAGAGCGAAAGCTCTTCCTTCGATATTCACCACCGTGGTATATACAGTTGTCTTTTTTTATTTTTTTCAAGAAAATTATAAAAAAAACAACAAAGCTCTATTATCCCGTTGTCAGCTACGCTACCCCAACATAAACAGATGTATGTGTTCCAGAAGGGCACCTGCTGTGCTGCAAGCTTGCACCACGGTTTCATAAGCAGCGCTCTATTCTCAGGATCCTTTCCCAGTCCGCACCACACTGGATGCTGTGACCTTGGCCAGCCCTAGCCTCTCCCCGCTAGACTGAATGGCAGCCCGAGACCAAGGGCCTGGTTGCCGCAGCTTTGATACTAATCCTCCCCGCCTCGCACAATGGCACCCTACCTGGCCTGCACACTGGAGCAGCCAGGCGGCCTTTGAAGCAGGTGATGAATAGGGACGGCAGGAAGCCGCTTCCCCACTGAACTCCGGGCCACACAGCTGCTAAGAACAGTCACTTGGATTTTTCTTCAGTTTTGGTGGATTTCGGGGAGGGGAAGGAGAAGAGAGGAAAAAAAAAAAAAAAAGAAAAGAAAAGGGAAAAAAAAAAAAAAAAACGCCCTTATCGAGAATATGGTGGGGTATTTGCAGCGTGAGAATCCGGCTTCAAAAAAAAGCCGTCGGGAGGAGCCGGCTCAACGTCGGGTGGTTTGTGCGCCACAGCGCCCGGCACCTGATCTTAAAGCTGCAGCAGGCAATTCCGGGAGCGGGCCTCGGCCCGAAAATTAGCTGTTTTCATGGCTTTCGGCTTAAAATTTGAAGCATAGTGAAAAGCAACCTATTCTCTCCAACTACAGATGGGAATATCCCAAATTTGAAAGTAAAATACGTGATCCACGCTATACGGCTGGGTGCGTCCTTCCAAAAACAACATGAGGAGAACAGACACAATATTATACAGTTTAGCACATCTACATTATTTAATAACACCGAGGGGCTCATTAACACACATCTGAAGTTACCCCCAGGAGGGACATGTTATCCGCGCCGGCCTAGGATCGTTATGCAGAGCTCTTTACCTCAGGTTTTTGCCCAAGGTTTGTGTACAAAAGTGGTTTCTTTTCAGATGCTTCAGTGTCCTTGGCGTGTCTAAATGGAAGTAGTCTTGCTCCCTAAAATAATTATAAAACCTTTGTCTGATTTCTGGAAAAAAAGTCTGTCATACATCAGATCTGATTAAAAAGAGATCGCGCTGACAAGAAAGGTCTTTCTATTAAAACTTTTTTTTGACTTCTTAATTACTGCATTTTCTGATGGTTGGGCCATGTAAGGTCTGGGGTTAGCAAGTTTGTTGTGAGGAACTTCAGTTATTTCAATTTTCTTGTTTTTGGCTGAAGAAAAAAATTGTAGCAGCCTGAGAATGTTCCGGAAGGAGGCAAGGGAGAGATCCTGTTTCTTCCACCAGCTACAGGATGTGTGCGTCATAGGTTTACCCAACTAAGGTAATTAGTTATCTTTAAAAATCTCTTCAAGTACAGCATTATATTGCTGGTGCAAAGTTTTCAAATTTAAAAGTGGGAAGAGCTAAAAGGGAACAGTGCTTCCGTGTGCAGGAGGGGAGTCCTCACGGCCTGACGTGGGAGCGGAAACAATGGCAGTGTGAAGCGAGGTGTTTTGTAAACGTCAAATTCAGTGATGAAAAACTCTCACCATTTAGTGTATACCATTCCCCATGATGTTTTTGCTTGGCTTTTTAGAGACCTCTAGCAGAGAACAGCTAGAGAGAAAGGATAGGGATGACAGCATTTTCTTCCCTCAAGTTCAAATGCCTACAAAACCCATCTTCCCAAGCAAATACTAACAATCACTACGCATTCATAAGCAACAAAATGAGCTTTCCTGTACAAATAACGTGAAATGACTGAGTAGGCATTGACTATGCTGGTGAACACTCACTGAACCTTCTGTTCTCCTTAAGAACTGCTGCCAAGCTCTACAGTTTCTCTTTCACCCTTCCCTCTCTCATTATTGTATTGAGTTGTGTTGTTGCTGCTGTTAAAGGAAAAGAAAAAAATAAAGTATGCCAACAAAAGGAAAAATACCACACTGTTTTGCATCAACAACCTGACTTCATCACAGAAAGCTGCATGAAAACTATGTTAAGTCTTCATAAATCAGTATGGATTCTCTCTGGGGTACAGCACACCTCTGTGAATGATAAAACAAACCTCCTTAAAAAAAGGAGTAAAAAACTCCTTAAAAAGACTCCTTTAAAAACTGTTACCATGTTGAGATCTTTCTGCACACCATTTTAAAATCTCTGCTTTTAACTGAAGTTTTGCAGTATGCCTTTACCTTGCAGAGAAGGACAAAAGGCGACAAAAGTATTAAGAAAATGCTAAAACAAACTTATCTGAGAAATGTGATCATCTTCTGCTATTCACTATCATAAACACACACACAAATTGCTGAATAGATTAAGTGATGCAAATCATGACCATCCTGCACAGAACACTGAAAACCTCAGCTGCCCAAGGATGGGCTTCTAACCCAGGCAGTGGTAGCTGCACCTACGTGTGGAGGTACTCTAGAAGAACCTGTTAAAACAAGAACCCATCAAATAAAGACCTAAAGCGAAACCCTGCTGCTGTTAGTGCCAGTTCACCTTGTACATCTGGAGAACAAAGCTTGACAGTAAATAGCCTGCTGATTGTATAAGATATCTTCAGAAACCAAATACTTGTAACACAATCAACATTGATAAATGCATTTTTTAAAGTCCCTAATATAGACAACAGCTTCTACTATAGAGTTTTTGTTTTTACATCATACAGCAAGTTTAGGCTTTTCAATTTTAGAACAATTTCAACTTGTTCTCATGAACAAGTATGCTTTTGAAAATCTTTTTATAGTCCCCAAAGGAGGGAAAGGAAATTAGTTAGCTCACTACCTCTTTGAAAAATAAAGCTACTACCATAAATATTTGACACCAAAGTATGAAAATTCATGTAAATTTATGTCCACAATCTAGAAATATTATAAGTAACACCTATATAAAATATGGGTTTGCATGGCAGGATGATTTTATTAGCACTGTTTTGGCATGACTGAACTTCTTAGGGCCAGAGAAGCCACCAGTAAATTACTTATGTCATGCCAAAGTACTGAACTAAAGCTCACTCGGTATAGCACACCCACAGCATGTCTATTTTGCAACAATTTTTACTTATAAACATTTTAAGAGTATTTTCAAATCTTTTATTGGAGATTTTATTTCCCATTCCTTCACTGGTAAATCAGGTGTCTTCATTATAATTACTCTGCCCAAAATCCACTCTAAACTCTGACCAGCACTCTGTACAACATGTGATCTATCCCCAAATAACAACTCTGCTAAAATCTAGCGTTTTCTGTCTCCTAAGCCTATAAATAAATGTGCGTGTTTCATGAGGATATGAGGATTACCCATCCCTGCAAATACACTGCTTCTAAAGTAATCTGATATAGCAGACTTGAGGATCGAGTATTAATCATGCTGGGCTCTGGCTTAGCATAACTTTGGGTGGAAAAGAGGAATCTTCATTGCAAAGCAAGGGAGCATACTAGAACTATATCATAGCAGATAAATGGATTTTATAACTTCAAATTTTTTGAGATTTCAATATATTTTGAACACAAAGTGCTCCCAAGATAAAAGAACTGTAATCAACAGAGGGCAAATGGGGTACTGAAAAATACACCAGTGCAGACCCCTACGTTACCACTTGGGGCAACAAACACATTTGGGGCAATGTACATACATGCAAATGCATTTTACTTCATTTCATTGCAAACTGTAATAATTTAATTGGCATTCATGTGTTTCCTGTTATTCTTTACCTTATAATCAACCACTAGTAACGGTATTTCAACTGCAGAGTAAGAATTGCATGAAATTCTTCAAAAGATGCAAGCTGGTCTTTAGCAAAATTACAGTTTTACTTATCCTTTCCACAACAAAATGCCCGAGTAGTCTCACTAGGTGTATATAAAATGGCATATCTGGCCAGTAAATTTTGATTTATAAAAATATTACCTCTGGAAGATTTTTAAAGTATGGTCAGCACAAACATCACATTGATGCTCTTATCTCCCCAGTCATCCTGCCATGACTAAATTTGCTTTTAAATCACCAGCATATTGGCACTGAAGTTGCATCCCTATGATTAAATCACATTTAGCAGTGGAACAAATGTCAGGAGTCTACCCAGTCTACCTGTCCCAAGAAAGCCAATTCGGTGCTCAAAATATTTCTTTCAAAATAATATGCCTTTAGTCATTGCAAATGTGTGTTTGTAGCAGATTCTAGTACAGAATTTACTGTACATTGCCTTTGTTTAGAGATTCCAAGTTTATTCAAGGACCTTCTTTGAACACTAAGAACCGACTTTGCAGGATGACTTACTATTTACTGCAGGCATCAATTTATGATCCTGGACTCGTGTCTCCTCTCCCTCCGCCCCCCAGAGCTGGCTCTGTTGACTATACAGGGAGCTCAGGCTTTTAAGTATGAATCACACACAAGTTAAACGCCTGAAGGAGACAGTGTAAATACCCATACGTCTGATT